AAACTGTTTCCTTTCTTTCATGGGAAGTTCTTGGAGAGTGCCATGCATGGTATTCTTAAGGATAACCCGGTCATGCAACTGAGTACAATGTTAAACCCAGTTTCGTGAAGAAAGCTGGAGGTGGATAATTCATGTAACGGGAAGTTCCCGAGAGAATTCTATATAGTGTATTCTTAGGGATAACCCGGTCACTACAAGAAGGTGATGAATAAAAAACTCCCACTCAAACTCCCACTACGTCTGTGCACTCAACATTCTCATTGTTAGAGTCAGGACATAGTATTCAGAATTTTAATATCCTGATCATTGACGATTGTCGAACCCCTCCGTGTTAAGTATTTGTCACTTAATACCAGGAGCCCCCTTCTGAGTGACTTGTACAAGTCAACATTCCTACTATGATTTGTACTCCCACTCCTACTGTCTACTTGGTCAAACCTTTAAATAGTTAGGACCACAATCAAAATCCCCTCTCGATTCCTTCCATGAGCGAGAGGTCCACAAATTGAATGATCAAACATTTAAATAGTTAGGATTGTCTCAAATTTCTATCTTGGTCAAACATTTAAACAGTTAGGACCACAACCAAAATCCCCTCTCGATTCCTTCATGAACGAGAGGTCCAAAAATTGAACGATCAAACCTTTAAACAGTTAGGGTCATCTTAAATTCCCATCTTGGTCAAACTTTTAAACAATTAGGACCACAACCAAAATCCTCTCTCGATTCCTTCCATAAACGAGAGGTCTACAAATTGAACGATCAAACCTTTAAACAGTTAGGATCGTGATTCCTTCCATAAACGAGAGGTCTACAAATTGAACGATCAAACCTTTAAACAGTTAGGATCGTCTCAAATTCCCATTTTGGACAAATTGAACGATCAAACCTTTAAACAGTTAGGATCGTCTCAAATTCCCATTTTGGTCAAACCTTTAAATAGTTAGGACCACAACCAAAATCCCCTCTTGATTCCTTCCATGAACGAGAGGTCCACAAATTGAATAATCAAATATTTAAAAAGTTAGGGTCGTCTCAAATTCCCATCTTGGTCAAACCTTTAAACAGTTAGGACCACAACCAAAATCCCCTCTCGATTCCTTCCATGAATGAGAGGTCCACTTTCAATTTGCAATTAAATCTATAAAAGTTAGGGTTACCTTCAACCTCACTTGGTCGAACCTACAGATAGTTAGGACCAAGACCGGAATGCTCCTTTCGATAAACGAAAGACTTCCACATTTTCCTATTCGGCCAAACCTATAAAAGTTAGGGCCAAAATCAGAATTTCACCTCAATAAATGAGAAATTCTTTTCTTGGATTAAGCAACCAATCCTATAAAAGTTAAGGGTTGCTTGAATCTTTTCGATTCTCGGAGTGGAGATCCCACTCCTAGTTTCACTTTTCCGAATTCTTAGGGTGGAGATCCCACTTCGAGTTTCTTTGGCACCTGGAGATAGAATATAAAATTCTTCCTCTTTAGTTTTGGGAGATAGAATATAAAATTCTTCCTCTCCCATTTTTCGACACCATCCTTCAACTCCGTAATCTGTATCTTATACACGCGTTGAATTTTATCCCGAATCCTAAGTAGGGATAAGTCAACTCCTAACACCCGTTGCTGGTTTAGTCTTTCACCGATTGAAGAAGACACCAGAATCCAAGTCTGGGGATTTTTATCTCGAATCCTAAGAAGGGATAAGTCAATGCCTAACACGCGTTGCTGGGTAGTCTATTCCCGTAAGAAAGAAAAAGTCTACGTAATCAATATCATAGTACTAAAAGAGTTAACTCTTTTAGCACAACGTCACATGCGGAACAGACTTAAACAATCCGCATGCAAGTCCGATTCAAACGGTAATCGGTAAAGGCACATCAAATCTGTTGATGGCTGAGGATTTACCAAAAATCCTGAGTCTGCATCTGATACATGCTGTCGGGTAGTCTATTCCCATGAGAAATAAAGTCTACATATTCAATATCATATCACTAAAAAAGTTAACTCTTTTAGCACAACGTCACATGCGGAACGGACTTAAATAATTTGCATGCTAGCCCGACTCAAACGGTAGTCAGTAAAGGCTCATCAAACCCGTTGATGACTGAGGGTTTGCCAAAAATCCTATATATGCAAGAGTCATTGACGCACCAGCCTCATTAGTTGGTCTCATGACTTGAGCATCCAACAAACTTCAGGATAAGATCTATACCTACAGATGAAATAACTTTAATAGTTGGTCATGTAGCTCGATATTTAGGACTGCCATGCTTCAATACCTTAAGAGCTTAAACTATGTATACTCTAGTAGATGTACGAGTATAAACCGTGTTAACGGCGAGCGATCCGAAACCCTAGGTTAACGCCGGTCAACACATAACCCTAGGTCAACGTCAGTCAACGCGTTGTGACGAAAAGTCAACGTCGGACAATTCGAAACCCTAGGTCAACGCCGATCAACACGTAACCCTAGGTCAACGCCGGTCAATGCGTAACCCTAAGTCATCGTTTGATGATCTAAACCCTAGGTCAAAGCCGGTCAACGTGTGACCCTAGGTCAATGTTAGTCAACGCGTTGTGACGAAAAAGTCAACGTTTGGCGATTCGAAACCCTAGGTCAACGCCGGTCAACACGTGACCCTAGATCAATGCCAGTCAACGCGTTGTGATGAAAAAGTCAACGTTTGGCGATCCGAAACCCTAGGTCATTGCTAGTCAACGCGTTGTGATGAAAAAATCAACGTCGGGCGATCCGAAACCCTAGGTTAACACCGGTCAACGCGTAACTCTAGGTCAACACCAGTCAACGCATTGCGATAAAAGCCAACGCAAGTCAATATATCGTGATGAAGATGGTTAGTTCAAAGTCAACTCAATGATACGAGCTAAAATCAATTCACCAGTTTTGATTCAAGATTTCGACGACGGCCAGACGATGAATGAAGCGCCGGGAGAACTTCAGCTATTCGTCAAAATATCGAATAAATTGAAAATCGAAGGAGTCAAAAATCAAAGCTAACTAGAGGTCCTTTTACACCGACTGAAGATTAGACCGTTCATATCCAAAGTATTTCAGGCTCATCTATAAAAGAAACGAGACTGAAACACTTTGGAGGGGGTATCAGTAGGCGTCAAAAATTACCTATAGGTCCCCGCACACAGCTCGAGATGGAGAGGAGACGATGAATGTTGCTATTCGAGTCATAGAAGCTCATTTGACGTTGACAAGCTCATGAAGTGAGTCGACGAACTATGTGAAGCAACGGAACTGCAGAACAACAAGGAAACGAACTGATCGGGAGCTCCACGTCACTTACAAAAGACGAAATGCCTTCCATATCCCATCCACTCCATAGACGATTCAATCATGGGATCTTGTATATTTTCTCGACGGCTTTTCTACACATCTTGAATCGCATAATTTCGAGTTCGAACGACAAAGATACGGCGAAAATGGACGGAACGAGCAGGATTATGTCCCGGGCCTCGGCGAGACACCCAGAGGTGTCTCGGCCAACCCGAGACACCCAAAAGAGTCTCAGCTTAGCCAAGACACTCTAAGATGTCTCGGCCAAGCGGAGACACCCAGAGGTGTCTCGGATTGGCCGAGACACCCATTGGTGTCTCGGCCAAGCCGAGGCACCCAAAGGTGTCTCAGACCTTATAGAACGATTTTGGCCATGATTTGATTCGAATCTGAAGAAACTTTAAAACATGAAAGTTGTTAGATCTCCTCGTTAGCATTCTAATGCATCTTGGATAAGGTCATTTAGAGATTATATGAGAAAGATAAAGCCAAAATACCAAAGATAGTATAAACTACCTCAGAATTCTGAGACAGTGTTGGTGTCTTGGAGAAGAATGATGATTTTGTCCATGATCTGATTAGAATCTGAAGAAACTCAAAACATGAAAGTTGTAGACCTCTTTGTCAGATTTCTAATGCATCTATAATCAGGTCATTTAGAGGTCATATGAGGAAGTTAGAGCTAAAATACCCGAGACACTCACTGGTGTCTCGGTCTGGCCAAGATACTCAGAGGTGTCTCGGCCAAACCGAGACACTCACCGGTGTCTCGGCCAGGCCGAGACACCCACGGGTGTCCATAACCCTCAGAATGCTGTTTTTGGTTATTTTGAGTCGTTTTTCGATGTTAACCACCTGGATTTGTTCTAACTGATCTGAATCTATCTAAGAATGTGGTTAAGTGGTTACAACTGAGGATAAGAGGGAATCGACCGTTCTTATCTGAAAACAGGGGCCCCTTAGCCTATAAATACAGCCCCAGGGCCTTCATTTTTTTAGATCTGGAATTCTCGAGCGTCGGCGAAGCCCTGCCGAATTGAGGACTGAAGAGCCACGAATTTCAGAGAGGAGGATGAGAGATCGGATAGAGTTCGTCAGCATAAAGAAGAGGAGCTCGTCAAATCTACACTTCCTGGTTCCTTCCTTGAGATCGCCCCGTTGCGGTGATCTCGAGAAGAGTGGTTATCTCGCCGTTGCCGAGATAACTGCTTCGGTTTCTTGATTCCTTCGCGAATCAACGAAGCTCCGGATCTGATCTGATCGTTTGGTGGTCCACGGATATCAACGTCCTCATCACAGGCCAAGATTCCACGCAAGCAGCGGGTGATAAACACCCGTTGCGTTTGTTTTGACTAGAGTTGTAATTTTTATTTTCATTGTGTAAATGTCTTATAAAAAGACTGATCTTTTTGAACTTGTTGTAACAATCAAACACTAGTACAAAACAGCTCTGTCCAAACGGTTATTACAACCGTTTGGACAAGTAAAAATAGTCCAAACGGATATAACCGTTTGGGAGAATAAACCCAAACAGGTAAATCCGTTTGGGTTGCTGAAAAATCCCAAACGGCTAAACCAAACGGGTTTAACCGTTTGGGATATCGCAACCCAAACGGTTTAACCCGTTTGGGAGTTTTTATTAGTTAAAAAAGAAAATAGTAAAAACCTTTTTTTCCTTTCGTTCCCCCCAAAATTTTCATTCCAGCGCCAAATTGAAGTTATCCCAAAATTTTCGTCCCGGCGCCCAATTAAAGTCATCCCAAAAATTTCAACACCGCACTCTCAAATCCCCCCTCGTCTTCGCCTTATCCGACCCCGTCGAAGTCCGACCGCTGCCGTCGGCCAACTCACCTCATCTTCGCCTCATCTTCGTTCGCCGCATCTGAAGAGATTCGAAGGAAGAAGAAGAAGAAGCGAGATATGAGCATCAAAACCCTAGTTCTTCGATTTCGAAGATGGGAGATTATAATGATCCGTTTATGCGCAATAAGGACGCGGCCGTCCAGGCCCGAACGAAGCCCCAGAATCGCGCCAACGTCCTCCAGTTGAAGCTGGTAATTTATATCCCTTTTCCCTTCGTGCTAGCTTTTGGCCTTGTATGAAACCCTGATTCCTCTCTCTATTTTATGATCACACTTGTTTGCGATCGGATCACACTTAATTAGGGTTTTGGTCGATCGATCAATTGATCGCCTGTTATCTGATTCCTTGTTAGGATTTTGATTGTTCGGTGTTAGGAATCGCCTAATTCGTTGTTTGATTGTTCTATTTCTTTGAATTTTTAACTGATAAATCGATTATTCCATAAAGGAATTCTAGATGCATGCATGATGCGCTTGTTTGATCTTTTAATTAACTGATTCCATTTAGATTTCTACTGCATGCTCTAATTTTAATCATGAAGTTGATACTTTTCCTTCTCTCACGAAATTGATCTGTTTTTTTCCAAATGTTTACCTGTTTTACTACTAATTATAGTGATTTAGTTGTATTTGCACATATTAGTTGTTGTGCGTGTTCCTTTTTAGCTCTATTAATCAAAACCTTCAAAAGGATTTAGCTCCTCCTCCTCCTCCTCCTCAACTCCCAGCAGATTTTATGGTTTTTTTCCTCCTTCATTTAATTGATTTGGTGAACCCAATCTTTACCAAAGATTTAGGTCCTCTAAATAGACTTTGTGAGTTCTTCTTCGTCTCTATTAAACAATAGTTTTTTTTCCTTTCCTAAATTCTCTTCTTCTCTAGTTCGTTTGAACGGGTAGCAGATAGATCGTTGACGAATACAATGGTGATGAGTATACATCACTGCATTTTCCCTTTCGTTCAAATTATGCTTGCATGTTTGCATTTGTGCAAGCAAATTAATTAAATGTTTGAACATGCTTTATAGCTATGGTTTTATCCTACTGCCCCCACTTTTCTGTTAGATATCCAAACTTATTGAAATTAATTAAACTTAGCTTTGAAGGTTTTATATCAAGATCCAGTAGTAGGCCTTGATACTGAAGCACAAACCCTAACTACATCTTCAGGGAAACTCCTCAAGTATGGATCTCTTATAATCTCTACAGGATGCGAATCTGCAAGGTACTTCAACTTTGATTATGTGAAACTAAAATGTTTGATATCTTTACTTTTTAGCTTGACCTTATATTTCTTTGATCAGGACTCTGATTCAATATCATTATGCATTCACACTAAATGTAAACTAGTTATGTTAATTTATACTCAAGCATCTTGACTATTGACTTCTAATTTTTGATACTCTTTTATGTTGGTAAACTTTAGGTAAACACAATGGGAAATTTGCTAATTGGCATGCTATTCTTTTCAGATGCTAAATTTCAGCTTCATAATATATTACACCTTTTTCTTCAGATGCTGAAATACATGATTTTGATGATGAAAAGGTAATAATGTTATTATGCATACATTAACTCTTGACTAATGTCATATATTTTAGATAGTTTTGCTGACTGATTATTTCTGACTTGTACAAAAGGATGAAAACAAGGTGGACTTTAAGAAAATTGTTAGTGAGAATTGGATTGAGCATGATCCTCATTCTATGCGCACTTAAGAGCTTGTGAATCGTAATTGTATGATTTTTATTATCACGCCTGCTGCTATTATTTTGTAGGAAATCAAAAGAGAGTGATGTATATAATTTTGGCAGAAAAGATAAACATTAACCTGCCAGTGTTTTGGCAAGTAACCAAATGTATATAAGAGGTCAAATAGAGTTAAAGAGGATATAATTTTGTTTGTCTAAGAAAATGTAACTTGTTTAGATCATTAACCAGTGTCTTTAATTTATTCGTTTCACTTTATTCTTTGTTTGCGAAACTCATTTCTATTTCTTTTCCTAGTTTGTTGATTAACTTATTTTACATCTCTATTGTACTGGAGTTAAAACTTTTTTTTAAATGTTTGATCTGCGAATATCAAATGTTGAGTATTATTCATACTGTAAACTTTTTTCCTATCAAATGTTGAGTATTATTCATATTGTGAACATTTTTTATCATATTATTGTTTAGACTAGATGCTGATCATGCAAAGCAGAACACATACGAGAAGCATTTATATCTACTTTTCTATTTTGAGTATTGTCAATCATCTACACTTCCGTTGCTATAATTCTAATCGAGGATTGAATTGCTTTTATGCTATAATCATACTTCTATTTTGTTTTTATTTTTTTCTTAAATATATCTACTTTTGCATTGTCGACTTACAGTTGACTACTTTGTATCGTGTAGAATCGAGTCATCAAGGAGGCAACCTTATCAGGGGTCGATTCAGCCACAGAGGAAGATGCACTTTTTTCCTATTTTATATTTTGGATGTATGAGACATTTTGGATATTAGAGACAAATATATAATATTGGATGCTTTTCATTGTGAGATATTGAATAATCATTGTGTATGTATATATAATATTGGATTTGTAGCACTACTTGAGATATTTTTGTGTATGTATATGTTTTTAATTTTATTATGAGATATTGAGTAATCATTGTGTTAGATGTGTATGTTATAAATGTAAGCAGGTAAATAAATAAAATAGCTGAAATGCAAAAATATTAAAATTAATAGGCCAAATGGTTGAAACTGTTTGGCCAAATATCTGGCCAAACGGTTTCCACCGTTTGGCCTAAAATTGTACAAACGGTTTTAACCGTTTGGACAAGTATTTGTCCAAACGGTTGAAACCGTTTGGCATATATTGCAGTCCCAAACGGTTACAACCGTTTGGGATACAATCCAAACAGTTGTAACTGTTTGGGTCTTTGTCCAAACGGTTGTAACCGTTTGGGTCACCATTGGGGCAGACTCATCCCCAATGACTTTAGTCCAAACGGTTCTTTTTTTTGTCCAAACGGTTGTAACCGTTTGGAATACTGTTTTCCCAAACGGTTCCAACCGTTTGGACAGACCAGTTTTGTACTAGTGAAAGTTGTAATGAGTTATACAATGAAGAATACAATTTCCACTTGTTGATAATAGTGTATTGTAGTGGGTTTTAGTCCCACATTGCTTGGGAGAACAAACCTCACACTCCTCTACTTGTATAAATATATGTGCACACTCAATATTCAATTCAAGGGAAATTTACCCAAGATTCTCTCTCTCTCTCTTACTTTAACATGGTATCAGAGCTAGGGCTATTTCCCTTTCAATAAAATTTTTAACGCTTTTGCGTTCTTTTGCCAAATCTTGGCCTTATTGCTTTGCAGCCGTTTAATGTTTTATTTTTTTTATTTTTATTTTTAATTATTTGGCGTTCATCTGCCAGATATTTTGGCCTTGTCGTTTTGCGGCCTCTTAACGCGTTTCGCGTTCTCGTTTAACCTTCGGGTTCTATTTTAAACCTTCGGGTTTCATTCTAACCTTCGGGTTCTATTTTAAACCTTCGGGTTTCATTCTAACCTTCGGGTTCTATTTTAAACCTTCGGGTTTCATTCTAACCTTCGGGTTCTATTTTAACGGCATTGTCGTTTCAAGACCGTCTCTCGGTCTCAAATTAACGGCATCGTCGTTTCAAGCCGTCTCTCGGCCTCAAACGAACGACATTAGTAACAGCATCTCGACATCTTAACGTCTCAAGATTGCTGTTATGGCTCCTTCAGAGAAGATTCCCAAACCACCTTTGCCCCTCAATGATCAAAGTGACTGGGCAGGGTGGTCCACCATTGTCACCAATGCCTTGCGTGGCGCTGGTTTGCTTGATCATCTCACCAGTACGGGACCAGTTCCACCGTCCATCAGCACTGTTGCTTCATCCAGTACTATTGCCTCTGGCAGTGGTGATGTCGATCTTCAGACTGCTCGTGCTCTCTATGTCAAGGAGAGTTCAGAGTGGCAATTGCAGGAATTTCGTGTTATGGATTATCTCACTCGCTGTGTTGGCTCTGGTCTCACTGTCGAGATTGGCTCGCTTCCCTCTGCTCAGGCCATGTGGACTCGTCTCACTGAGCGTTTCACTGAGTGCTCGGGTGCACGGGAGGCATATCTTCTGCAACGCATTTCTCTACAACGCAAAGGTAGTTCATCTCTGCAGTCCCATTTTGGACAAATGCAAGCTTTTTGGACAGAGTTACGCTCCATGCTTCCTGGACGTAATTCCACATATGAAGACTGGCTAGCCTGGTACGAACGGCATGAGGTGCATCAATTGTTTCAGTCCCTTCCTGAATATTCAACTATGGCTGATCAACTACTTCACCAGCCTCAATTTCCGACTTTGGCCTCAGTTATGGGAGCTCTCACTGCTTATGAGACCCGGCAGCAGACAGCACGACTCAATTTGTCAACAGACACTCCTACCTCTTCACTCGAGACTGTTTTGTCTGTACCTGTCACTGCTCCTGTTATGAATTATACTTCTCCACAGGCTCCCTCTCCACAGGCTCGATCTAAGCTCTCTTGCAAATATTGTAAGAAGGAAGGACACCGCATTGAGACATGCTTCAAGCTTCATCCTGAGTTACGTTCCTCAGGTACTGGACGTGGTCGGCGACCCCCTCAGTCTCAACCCTCTCGTACACCAGGATTGTTGGCCAATGCTATACCTTCTACTACTTCAGACTCTACTATTCAAGCTATTGAAAGTCTTCGCCGTCAACTTGATGCTTTTCAACATATCACCTCTACATCCGCCGCACAACTCTCTGGTATGCATTTTGCTGGTTCTTCAGCTAATCCTTCAGTCTCTGGTATGAATGATCTCTGGATTTTTGACTCTGGTTGTTCCTTTCATATGACTTGTAATGCCTCACTTTTATCCTCTGTCTTTACTTCATCCTCTCTTCCTCCTATCTACACAGCTGCTGGACAACCATTGTCCATTACTCAGTATGGCTCTATTACCCCACAAAATGATCCATCTGGTCGTCTAACACTTGGTCCCGTCTATGTGGCTCCACAATTGTGCTTGAATTTAATTTCTATTAGCTCTTTATGCATGGCGGGCCTGTTTGTCTCATTTTCTTCTGATACTTGTATTGTGCAGGATCCACAGACGGGCAAGACGGTTGGGGCGGGTCGTAGGAGGCACAAACTGTATTTTCTGGAATATCTTCACCTTCCAGAGTCCATACGTCCACGTTCTCTTGTTGCTTCTCTTTGTTCGTCAAAACCCTCTACCTCGCTTCCTGCCAATTTATGGCATAGACGACTTGGTCATGTGTGTAATAAAAGGCTGGAGAGTCTTATTCAGTCTGGAGTACTTGGTCCTGTATCATCTAGTTCTAGTATTGAGTCATGTGCTGGTTGCAAATTGGCTAAATTCACTGCTTTACCATTTAAAATGAGTACATCTGTATCCACTTCCTTATTTGATTTAGTACATTCTGATATTTGGGGGCCAGCTCCTTTGCCTTCTTCATCTGGCTACTTATATTATGTTAGTTTTATCGACGATTTCTCTCGTTTTACATGGGTTTACCTACTTAAGAATCGCTCTGACGTACTTACTGCTTATCAAGCCTTCACTGCTATGATTTTCACTCAATGGCAATCTCGTATTAAAGTTTTTCGTTCTGATTGTGCCAAAGAGTACCTATCCTCTGCCATGCGCTCTATCATGTCCTCTCATGGGACTATCTTTCAACAGTCATGTCCCTACACTCATGAGCAAAATGGTGTTGCTGAACGCAAACATCGTCATATCCTCGATACTGCCCGATCAATGCTCATTTCTTACTCTGTTCCTCGTCGTTTCTGGGCTGAGGCTATTCTCACCGCGACTCATGCCATTAATATCACTCCATCTAGCTCTCTTTCCGGTGCTACTCCTTATAGTCGTGTTTATACTCATCCTCCCCGTTATGATCTAGTTCGCGTTTTTGGTTGTCGATGTTTTGTTTTTCTGCCATCTCACGAACGTGATAAATTGTCTCCCAGAGCAGTTTCTTGTGTTTATTTAGGAATTAGTTCAGAACATCGAGGTTATCGTTGTTATGATCCCGCAACTCGTCGAGTTCATATATCTCGTCATGTTCAGTTCGAAGAGGATTCTCCATATTATTCTACTTCTGATGACTTTAATTTCCTCCACTCTACCGATCATGCTTCCCCGTCCACTGCATCACCCACTTCTTCACCTCAATTTTCCTTTCGAGATCTCCCTGACATCTCTCCCTCTCCTTCTGTTGACTCTTCCTCACCTGAGTCTTCTCTTACACCATCTAATCCATATCCTGTGGACACAACTCTCACTCCAGAAAATACTGTTGATCTTCATGCACCTGCGCCAGCATCTCCCCCGCCTGAGGTTCCTCTTGCTCTTCGTCGAGGCAAACGCCCACATGTCATGCCTGCCCGGTATGCTTCTGTTACTTCTTATTCACCTATCTTTCATAACTTTCTTGCTGCCATTCATACTATTGTTGAGCCAAAGTCCTTCCAAGAGGCAGTTCAAATTCCAGAGTGGCGACAAGCTATGGCTGAGGAATTTCAAGCATTTCAGCAAACTCATACCTGGGATATTGTTCCCTGTCCTCCTGGGATCTCTCTTGTTGGCAGTAAATGGGTTTATAAGGTCAAGTTTCGTCCTGATGGCACCATTGAACGTCGAAAAGCTCGTTTAGTGGCTAGAGGTTTTACTCAGCAACAAGGTATTGATTATGAGGAGACCTTTGCTCCTGTTGCTCAGATGCCCACTGTGCGTACTCTCCTTGCGGTCGCTGCTGCTCATCGTTGGCCCTTATACCAGATGGATGTCAAAAATGCTTTTCTTCATGGCTCTTTATCAGAGACCGTATATATGCAACCGCCTCCAGGGTCAAATATTCCTCCGGGACATGTATGTCTCCTTCGTCGTGCTGTTTATGGTCTCAAACAGGCACCCCGCGCTTGGTTTGAGTGTTTTCGCGATGTTGTGCTCAAAGCGGGCTTTATAGAAAGTCATCAAGATGCTTCTCTGTTTGTTCGCACTACATCGCGTGGCAGGGTTTTATTACTCATCTATGTAGATGATATGATCATTACAGGTGATGATATGACAGGTATACAATACGCAAAATCTCAGTTGCAACAACAGTTCCACATGAAGGATCTTGGATCTCTTCGGTATTTCCTTGGTCTAGAAATTTCTCAAGGCCCGCGGGGTGTATTACTGTCTCAACAGAAGTATCTCTCAGATATTCTAAATCAAGCTGAGTTAACTGATAATACAACTGTCGATACTCCACTCCAGCAGAATGTCAAACTTTGCTCTACTGACGGTGAGCCTCTATCTGATCCTACCCGATATCGACATCTTGTTGGTCAGTTGGTCTATTTGTGCATCTCTCGACCAGATATCTCTCATGCTGTTGGTATTGTCAGTCAATTTGTTAGTGCCCCACGTTCTGTACACTATGCTGTCTTATTACGGATTCTTCGGTACCTCCGGGGTACTAGCACTCGCTCACTTTTGTTTCCTGCTACATCTAAGTTAGAGCTTTGTGCATATTCTGATGC